AATCAACATACTAATCAACGGACTAGTCAACAGAACAGGCTAGTCAACATACAAGGCAATAGCCTTGTCAATAGTCAGCAGACTAGTCAACATACTAGTCAGTACACTCTTCAACAGACTAGTCAATATACTAGTCAACAGACTTATCACTGTCTAGCCAACAGACTAGTTAACAGACTAGCCAACAGACTATTTAACAGACTAGTCAATAGACTAGTCAACAGACTAGTGAATAGATTAGTAAACCGACTGTCAATAGACTAGCCAACAGACTAATTAATAGAATAGTCAACAGACAAGACCATAGACTAGTCAATATACTAGCCAGTAAACTACTAAACAGATTAGTCAATATATTACCCAATAGACTAGTCATAAGTTTAGTTAATAGACTAGTCAACAGACTTTTTAATAGAATAGACAATATACTATTTATAGAATAGTTTACAGACAAGACAATAGACAAGTCAACAGATTAGACAATAGACTAGTCAACGGACTAGTTAATACAATAGTCAAAAGACTAGTCAATAGACTAGTCAACAGACTAGTTGACAGACCAGTCAATAGACTAGTGAAAAGACTTGTCAATAGACTAGTCAATAGACTAGCCAATAGACTAGTCAATAGACAAATCAACAGGCTTGTCAGTAGACTAGTCAATAGATTAGTCAATAGACTATTCAACAGACTAGTCAATAGACTAGCCAATAGACCAGTCAATAGACTAGTCAACATACTAGTCACTAGACTAGTCAACAGAATAGCCAACGAACTATTTAACAGACTCGCCAATAGTCTTGTCAAAAAACTAGCCAATAGATTAGTCAATAGACTAGTCAATAGACTTGTCAATAGACTAGTCAACAGACTAGTCAATAGATTAGTCAATAGAATATTCAATCGACTAGCCAATAGAATAGCCAATAGACTAGTCTATAGTCTAGCAAACAGACTAGTCAATAGATTAGTCAATAAACTATTCAACAGACTAGTCAACAGGCTAGCCCACAGACTAGCCAATAGATTAGTCAGATTAGTCAGTATACTAGTCAATAGAATAGCCAATAGACAAGTCAGTAATAGTACAGACTATTTAATAGAATAGAGATTAGAATTGAACATGTACTAGGTCATAGAATAGTCAATAAACTAGTCAATAAACTGGTCAAAGGATTAGTCAATAAACTAGTGTATGGACTAGTCAACAGACTTGTCAATAGATTAATCAACAGACTAGTCCATAGACTAGATTGGTCAACGGACAAGCCTATTGCCTAGTCAATGGAATAAACTAATTAAACTGTGAGAAATCAATCCATAGATTTATCAATATTCTAGTTTACAAACTAATTAAAGATTAGTCGATAGCCCAAAGATAAGTCAATCGTCTAGTACATAGACTAGTCCATAGACCAGTCTATCGAATAATTAAAAGACTAATAAAGGCAAATACCAGTTATTAAATATACTAGACCATAGATCAGTCAATAGTCTAGTGAATTGAAAAAAAATCGCCTACAAAAAAGTACTAAAATACAGTTTAATTCAAATGTAAATACTATTTGAATATTGCCATGTCTGTTAACAACCAAGACTTTAAATCATATGGGGGCGGGGTATTGTGCCAGTGTCCTCTATCTATTATCTAAAAATTATATCTTATACAAGTAGGTATTTATGTATGTATGTAGGTAAATAAATAAGTGTGTTTGTTAGTTATAATGTGTTTATTGGCAAATTTAATTTTATTTATATAATTTTATATAGTATTGTTGTTGCTATTTTTTTTCTTATCGTCATCTATTTAATGGCACTTATTTTCTTCATTGATTTATTAGTTCTAATTTGTTGTTTTTTTCTCTTTTACTTTTTTTTGTCAATTTCTTTTATTTCGCAACTGCATCATTTCTTTTAAGATCTATGTTTAGTTTTGTTGTTTTATCTATTGTTACTGACAACAATTTTTCATGTTTAAGGTACTAAAAATATAAAACAATATTTATAAAGTAAAAGTGACAATATATTTTGAAAATTATTTTGATAATGACAGTTACAATATTTGGCAATATAATTTTAGCAGTGTTACTAAGGGGAAAACATTATTTGGTTTCACAAATTCCAACAAAAACTTTAAACAATATTTGGTATTGTTTCAATTTCGGTCTATTTAACCTTCAACCTCAATTCTCTTTAATTAAAATAGATTTAAACTTACTTAATCTTTTTAACAAACTTAAAATAAAATATGTTTTATTCCCCAAACGTATGAAGAACTTGACAAAACATTTGTTACCGACATTTTCACATTATTTGTACGAAGAGAAATCTTTCTGTTCCATTTTCTTTTAAAGACAATACCAATAAAGAAAAGCAATTAAAAATTAAATACATACTTTTTTGGAAGCATATAAATAAAATTTGTATGTGTATTTTTCACAAGTGTAAAAACAAGAGTTGTACAATTCAACTGCATTTCAATTGAAATTTTTTCTTAACATTTGTAAAAACAACATTGTTAATTGAAATTTAATGTAATGTTTAGGGTAACAAAAAGGAATAACCTAATAAGAATAGAAATCCAAAAGAATAATATAAAAGAAACTTAAGTTTTAAAGGAAAAGGTTAAATTCTTTAAGCAGCTCTATAGACTTATAGTCTCAAATAATTACCTGGTAATTTATAGAGTAAGGAGCTTTCATTAGACGGTATTTTATTATAATACTTTTTAGAAATTATAACCTTTAACTCCGGCCATCTAAACATCTTTAACAAATGCAATACTCTAACTTAAATAAGTTTAAAAAAGTCATGTATTTTCAATGCCATCTTCTAAATAAACATAAAATATTAAATTAAAATTATTCCTTTTAAAAATCTTTTTTTTTTCAAATTTTAAATTATAATTTTCCCGCAAAACAACCATTACACGCAGTTAACTTTTTATCTTAACTGCATCGTTAATATTTAAATAAAGTTTTTTTAAATCGTTATCTAGGCGTTTATAAAAAATGTGTATTTTTTCTATTAAATTTACCGCCTTTCATTATTGTCGTAAACCAATTATACATATTTTTCCGTACTGCCTATTGCACCTGATAAATACTATTTGAATATTAATGATAAATTGTATAGTTATTAGATAAAAAAATATTTTAATTTATAATAAGAAGAAATATGCAGATACTTATATATGACTGGGGTTCTTTTAATGGCAACATTCTTTAAGTAACTATGCCGGAACGGTGGTATGACATGGACTTGTCCATGGACGTTAAAGACACATCAAAAAGTGTTGTAGTGGCCATGGACATTGTAGTCTATTCTACAGTCTAGTCAATAGTCTAGTCTAAAGTCTAGTCTAAAGTCTAGTCTATAGTCTAGTCAATAGTCTAGTCTATAGTCTAGTCTATAGTCTAGTCTATAGTCTAGTCTATAGTCTAGTCTATAGTCTAGTCTATAGTCTAGTCTATAGTCTAGTCTATACTCTAGTCTATAGTCTAGTCTATATTCTAGTCTATAGTCTAGTCTATAGTCTAGTCTATAGTCTAGTCTATAGTCTAGTCTATAGTCTAGTCTATAGTCTAGTCTATAGTCTAGTCTATAGTCTAGTCTATATTCTAGTCTATAGTCTAGTCTATAGTCTAGTCTATATTCTAGTCTATATTCTAGTCTATAGTCTAGTCTATAGTCTAGTCTATAGTCTAGTCTATATTCTAGTCTATATTCTAGTCTATAGTCTAGTCTATAGTCTAGTCTATAGTCTAGTCTATAGTCTAGTCTATAGTCTAGTCTATAGTCTAGTCTATAGTCTAGTCTATAGTATAGTCTATAGTCTAGTCTATAGTCTAGTCTATAGTCTAGTCTATAGTCTAGTCTATAGTCTAGTCTATAGTCTAGTATATAGTCTAGTCTATAGTCTAGTCTATAGTCTAGTCTATAGTCTAGTCTATAGTCTAGTATATAGTCTAGTCTATAGTCTAGTCTATAGTCTAGTCTATAGTCTAGTCTAGTCTAGTATATAGTCTAGTATATAGTCTAGTCTAGTATATAGTCTGGTCTAGTATTTAGTCTAGTCTAGTCTATAGTCTAGTATATAGTCTAGTCTATAGTCTTGTCTATATTATTGTCTATAGTCTAGTCATAGTCTTGTCTATATTATTGTCCATAGTCTAGTCATAGTCTTGTCTGTAGTTTAGTATATAGTCTTATCTATGTATATGTAGTCTAGTCTATAATCTAGTTTATAGTCTTTAATCTATAGTAAGCTGAGCAGTTATTTAATTTCCTACACAAAATATGTACAAATTCTTAAAGAACTACTTGATTTTATTAAGATAATTGAGGAATTAAATGAATTTTTAAACTCGTACTTAAAAACATAAAAAACATTTGTTAAATATTCATTAATTTAACAAGTTTTATAAACAATTTTTAACTCCAACAACTTAACATTTATGAATAATTCAAACTTAAGCCTCTGCACGTAATCCCGATTAGATAATAACACTTAAAAAAACGCTAAATTAGCAATAATAACAATGTCAAACTATTGTAAAAAAAACACATGTGTTTTTCTTTATCATCCAATAAGAAGAAAAAGAGAGAGAAAGAAAGTGACCATGAGAGAATTATAACAAAAAAAGTCAAACTAGTTAATCGATTTATCACAAAAAATAAGAAATTAAGCGGCAAATATTTTGTTATTAACAATAAAACAATAAATATAAAATTAAAAAAAAATATTTAAAAATTTAATGAAATATTTAAGCTTAAACTTATAAAATTTAAGAAAATCAATAAAACATTTGTTGGCCCCAAAAAAAGGACACTTTCTAAATGACAAACTTAGGAACGAAGAGATTAAAATAAGAAAACAAAGAAAAGAGAGCAAATTTATTGTTTTTTTTTTTTTTTTTTTTTTTTGCTATTACTAAATACAAAATAGGGTATAAAAGTGAAAAGAAAAAAAAAAGAAAAAACATGTAATTTATACTTACAATTCTTTAATCAGCATTTTTTACGATTTTCTTTTAACTTGTTGTAATTAATTAAATATTAATACACAATTGTTAATAACGATTGAATTTGTTCACTTGTTTTTCTTTAATGAAATTGAAAATATATTTTTCTTCACAAATTTTGTTATTATAGTTGCTGTTTAGTAGTTTTTGTTGTTGTTGATATTAAATTTGACACTGATATCAGCAGCATTCACTTTATTCGTATTTATTTGTTGTTGTACGTACAAATGTTTGTTGTATTTTTTTATTATTATTTTTGTGTGTGAGAGTAGTAATGGTGTGATGAAGAAGGAAACAAATATAAAAAGGGGGAAATATATCGAAGGAGAACCGTTGTCGTCGTAACGGGGAGAGAAGGTCGTGGCTCTGAGCTGGCAAATATAAAAAAGTATAATTTATGTTAAAAAAAAATATGTTGAAAAATCCTATATTACAAACATTTTTAATTGAATTTTAACAGAAATTAAATAACTTTGGATTAAGTTTAGAAAAAAAAAACAGAAATTTTAAGCTATAAATTAAAACTTTGTATTAAATTAAATACACGTTAGAGAATTTGCAAATAAAGAAAAAATCTATTGAATTTTTTTCACATCTACTCCGCACACATAAAATATCTGAAAAAAGTTGTCTCCAACAATGTTTCTTTGATGACGTCCTCCTTTTAGTTTTTTTTTCTTTTATTTTTTGTATGTGTATTGGCAAATTTTTTTTTTGCCTTTTTTTCTTCAAATGATTCTCACTTTATTAAATATTGTTTATTTAACACTTTTGCTTTAGGTTTCTTCAAGTTTTAAAAATTTCTAATTAATTAATTTTAATTTATTGGAAATTAATTTTCTTTACTTTTTTATCTTCCAATTACGAACGTAACTTTTATTTGTAGCCGCTCGAAAAATCCATCTGTTAAATGTAGCAGAGACCTGCACCGACAAACATTGACAACGGCGGCAGCGATATTTGACAATTCAAATTTCGGTGGCGGCTCAAAATCGCATGTAAACCGGCTAAATTTGCAACTGTGCTTTTAAAATTTTCAACGTTATGGAATAGAAGCGAGATGCTAGTGATTAAAAAGCGCGATTTTGGAAGAAAATATTTTGAAAAATCGGCATTTTGAATATTTTCTAATATAATACCGGTTTTTAACATAAAAATAAACAATATTCTGTTAAATCAGTATTTTAAAATTCATATTTTTTCTATATTGGTTTTGACAGCACTTAAAAAAAGTACTACCAAATTTGGTATGAATTTGGTGATTATACAGCTATGTGCCGGTTCACACTTTTTTGGGAAACATTTGATTTTTGTGTGTAAGAGAAATAGAATTTTTGTGTGTAAGAGAATCTCACACACAAAATTAAAAGTTTCCAAAAAAAAGGTTCCCAGTGTGAACCGGCACTATGCTGGCTGCTGCTCAGAAAAGCAGTGAATTAATTTTATTTTTTATATATGTGGAGCTTCAGACAGTTTTTGTGAAATTTTTGATTTTGTGTGTGGGAGAAAGAGATGGTTGATATTTCGTTCTCTTTTTCTCATACACAAATTCAAAAGTTTCCCAAAAAAGTTTTCCTGTGTAAGCCGAGAATATGGAGTATGACAGTATGGCTACACTAAAAAGTGCCGGCACCCAGTTAAACAAGCCAAAGTTCTATGTTCGGCTGTGGCGAATCTTATGTACCCTTCACCAAGTATGTTTAAAAAAAACGGTTTTTATTTATTTTTAAGAATTTAATTTTAAAAAATTTCAACTTATTTTATTTTTGTATTTTTCTTATGTACCGTTATATTTATATCTGCATCAAAGTAAAAAACAACAATAACAAAGAAACACATCATTTCTAGTACAAGTCGCATTTTGCGTTGACTTGTATGATACAATCGCAGAAATAGATGTTGTATCTTTACACAAATATCACACATAACATACACAACTGCATTACCTATTCATAAAAAATTCAACTGTATTACCACACTCAAACAAATAAAAACTGTATTACCCAAATATAACTGCTTATCTCGTTGTTGAAGGTTTTTATGCTTTTTTTATAATTTGTTAAAGAAATTTTCAGAGGTAGTCTCAGATTTTCGCTCATATTTGTGTTATATATAGACCGATTTTGCCAATGGGAAACTTCTCAAAAGCAAGCCTGGGTCACGTGACACGAAATTGCCGATATGTATTTTACTCCCAAAGCTTAATAAGATTCTTTTTTAATGTATTTTTAGAATTGTATAGAGCCGGTTTTATGGAATAAGATTACTGTGTTATTCCAACTAATTTGGCTTTTAAAATGGAAGCTTTAAATAAGCTGCAAACAATTCAACCAATGAAAAACCAAATAATTAATGATATTTCATTCTATGCACGTCGGGAAAATTAAACTACATCGATGTTAGAAATTATGGGCTTTTTCGGAAATGCATCAATGGAATTGACCCAAAGCCGATTCTACCCCACTTCCATTTAAGTTACCGTAGTTTTTATTCAATATCTCTGCATTCTTTACCATGTTTCGTCCATTATCTGCAATAATACATTAAATTTGATTCTCTTCTATATCAAATACTTTCTATTTCCAGATATACATAGGTTCTCTGTGCAATTAACCCAAAAGTTTTAACTGAAAGTTTATTTTCACAATACTGTTGTACATTTACACCTAAAACTACACGATTATGTCTGGTTGCGGCAATTTTCACTATATTATTGTAAATTTACACCTAAAACTCCACGATTATGTCTGGTGACGGTATCCTTTTAATTTTTAATAATTTTATTTCACTTTTAATTTCATTACATTTGTCGGGTATCTTCTGGATTTGTTAAATATTTTTCTGTTCCTAGGCCTTACAGTTGAAAAAACTTGAATTGATGTGTTGACATACATAAAACTTTTTTCACTTCAACTTATTTTCCAAAATTGTTGGAATGTTTTTTTTTCTTGCATTTTTTAATGATATCCTTTTTACATTTACGCCTTTGCTTTATAGTCCGCGGTTCTTTCAACTTCTTATACATAATTCCATTTGTTAGCTTTCCATTATATTTTTTTAATGCTTCTCGCCGATTTTTTGTTCTTTAATACCAATATATCTATATTTTCTTTCTAATATTATAACTAAAATTTGAATACACATTGTTGAAAAAATATATAAAAGTTGTAGAATAACGCGCTATAAATAAAACAAAAAATGTATGCTAAAGAACTTGTGGCGTAGGATACAAAGAAGGTATTAAAAACAGGCAAAATGACATCTAACTTTTTAGCTTTATTTTGATATAAATCATTATAAGGGTACAAATATTCATGCCATATTGTATTTATAAAAAAACACTGTGTTTTTGCTGCGATTTTAGCATTTCTGCAGTGCTGATGATAAACCCAATGGAGAAATAAAACTGACTTGCAAGGGAATACACGTAGCAGCAGCGTTTACATCTATTTTCAGCAAAGGCCAAAAAACACATAATTTATGCGCTATAAAATTATATTAATTCTGGCAATATTATTTAAAACAGAAAATTAAATTTCCCTAGATGAGGGAAATTTTAACAATGTTGCCGACAATTCCTGTATTGTGTCCTGTTTTACCACAAACACTGTTTTATCTTTCAACGTGAGTTAAGTATGCAGTTTAAATAGAATATTAAATTTTTCATTACAAATCAATAGAAACATTTTGAGTGATTGCTAAAGTATGTAAATACCAAAAGTTCAATGCATAAAGGTGGTTATTGTTGATTATCGATCGAAAATATTTATTTAAGTGGTTTGTCTTGATACTTAAAAGATGGCGAAAGCTTGCCAGTCATCAACAACTTTGGCATCGAATATGGCCGGCAATAAGATTTCTTGTCGCAATAGAGGACAGAGTCCTATTCACGTTTTCATAAAGTTTTGCAGGTGTCATTGGACGTATTGATACAAAGACATTGTCAATGTTAACATCTCCTTCACTATTACAATAAAGTTTTGCAGGTGTCATTGGATGTAGTGATATAACGACATTGTAAATGTTAACTTCTCCTTCACTATTACTATTTTCTGAGGCTGAAAAGATCTTGCTGTTTTGCACTGCTATTAAGGTTTGTATGTTTATAAATCGAACTTTACTGATTCTGGACAAACTATTAGCGCCACAGAGACGTACTCGTATTTGAGGTTTAAAGGTTATATTGCTGCTAGTGCCATAAATCAGTCAACTAGAATGCCAATTAGATTAGAAAGAAATATATTTAGAATTTCTTACTAAAATACCTTAATTTTACCTGTCACAGTAAATTCCAATTTATTTTTATATACCACCAGCAGGACCATACAACTGTACACTAATAAGGCGTTTGTTTAACTGTACTACCTAAATGATGATATCAATACAAAATATCCTAATGAGAACTTCATAAGAATTGATGAACAATTAATTTATGCTAAAAGTTTTAATGGTGGAAAATTAAGTATAGACATTTAACTATTAGTGTTGTTATAGTTTACATTACATTCCCCTGATCCATTTAGACAACCTCAAAACTACTCTCTTGATTTGTTAAATGTAGCATGTTTTTTTTTTTAATTTCGATTAGTTTTGGTCCTAGGTCTTTGAGGAGTACTCTTAACACAGTTGCCTCAATTTTTGTAGAGTTCTTGAGTTGATGTCTGCTAATGCCGATGTTCTTTAGTGAATTTGTTGAATTTGACATAGTATTTATATCAGTCAATTGAAAGCATATTAGGCCCTAAAAGGAGAGCTAGGATATTGACATTTTCCATAAATATGTCTGTAGATTAATCGAGTCTTCAAAACCGAACACCAATACTGACACTATTGATGGATATATACAATAGTTATATACATACAACGACAAAGAAAGTCCATAATGTCCACCCCACTTCTTATACATTCGTTTGAATTCATACGTCCAATTTTGCATAGTTGTGCATTTGTGTGTCCAGTTAGAATATGTACAATTATACTATCTTCGAATTTGCTCGTTCTGAGGACGAGAAACCTTTTCTCGTTAGTGTAACCGCATAGGATCTCTGTGGTTCTAATCACCGTTTCATTAGTTCACTTACAGAATTTCCCGCCCATATTTTCAACTCATTCCAGGTTGCATTCTTTGGGTTCATTTTCCTTTAAAGCAAATACATCGTACTTTCGTTGCCGATTAATCCAGAAAGTCCTGGTACACCTTTGATGCCCAAAGTATATATATTACAGTCCAATACGGCCTTAGATTAATATGGTTTCTTGTAAGATAACTGTGGACATTTTGAGGTCACAGATTTATGTCAGGAGTTATTTTTTCCGTAGTTCTTATGAAATTCTCACTAATATTATTGCTTAAATAGGATTAGTAAATTATTTGATGCACCAGCTGTTGGATTGTAAAAACAATTGGAATTTACAAATTTAGGTAGTTTAGTAAGAATTTCAAATGATCTTTCCTACTATCCTTGATCTAATTGGTAAGTATTCTTGTTAAACATGCAACTAGTACATCTAGCAGGTAACAAAGGATTTCAACAGGTAAAAAGACACCCAGAGTCGATATTAGCCAACTATTTAAAGGAGTACGGAGTAAGAATTTCCAAACAGAACTTATTTGAACGTCAAAGTATAAAGTGATATTAAAAAATTAATCATCTTTATAAAAGTTTTACCGATTTATATCCAAAACCAACTAAGAACAATATTTAAAATGGAAGCAAAAATGGTACAACTACAACCCATGACAGTAATGGTTGGATCTGCCAATAAATTCAAAGGCATTTTGGAAACTGAAGATCGCCCCCTAATGGTTAATGCCTGGTCACAAACTACAAGCGACGATTTTTCATATTTATATGAAATTGAAAATTTGGAGAAACAATCTCAAAGAGAAAAGGAACTAGAGGAGAAAATCAAAATACTAGAAGAAAATCTCAAGGCTCACAGCGAATTGTTATCACAAATACATGCCACCTCCGCTAGGACATCAGCATTATTATCGCAACAGCAGCAAACATCAGCTCCAGAACCTATCAGTAATGTTAACTGCAATAGTAACACTAATAGCAATATTATAAATGGTATAGCACAATCAAGTCCAAAAATTGTCAACACCGTAAACTCCATTTCCCAAGTGAATTGTTCTCCTAGTGAAAGTGTTAAATACACCATTATTGCTGAAGGTATAGCAAATCATAGTGGTGAACCGATTGAAATTGAGCTGGCAGAAGATGATGGAGCATTAAATTTAAATAGTTCAGCTGATTCCGAGCGCTTGGAAATTTGTCTGGAGCCCGAAGAAAATATAGAGGTTAAAACTGAATACAATATTGAGAATAATCGAGTTGTTGAAACATTATCAGATACTACACCCAATGAGCAGCATTTTATAAAGAAGCGGAAGCTGACCTCAGAGCAGCTAGATGTTTCCTATAAACCTCCTGTACAAAAACGTTTCAGTAATGGTAATAGTTTGCCCAAGACCGGTAAAGTTCAAATTAAAAACATCCAAACCTTAACACCAGTGCAAATCAATAAGACCTCTATAGCCTCAGAAAATAGTAATTCACCATCGTTTAATAGTGAAGGTGGCGTCAATATTGACAACGTCATGGTGTCCATAGGACCCAATAATACCCGCATACCAGCGAAACTTTATGAAAATATGAATTGGACTTCCGCCTCGATTGCGACAAGAAAACTTCTTATGGCCATATTCGATCGCAAAGTCTTGGCCACACATTCGATGACCGGTAGACCTTCGCCAGCTTTTAAGGATCAAGGCAAACCCCTTAAGCAAATGTTGGATCCATTAATCATAGCCGATATTATATTCGCCGTTACACGCAAGTGCAATGTTTCCGATAAGGAAGTGCGCAATGCCATCACTACCAAATGTGCCGACGAAAATAAAATGATGAAATTACAAATTAACAAACGCACGCCTATGAGAGGAATGAATAAAGAAAATATGAATTATTAATAAAATTTATTTTTTTTTTGTTATATTATTAATTATTAAGATTTATTTAGAATTAAGTATAATATAAGCTCTCTTTACAAATCAAGTTTTGTAAATAAAAAAGTTTTATTAAATCAATTTTCCCCGTATAATATTACACCCTTCTAGTTCTTGGGAGTATCGTGTGTCTCCAGATGTTCTTTGATCGACCTCGTCTTCTTGAATCTTGAAAATTCTTCCTTTCTATTTAGTATCTTCAGCGTCTTCTGTTGGGACATACATAACTACTCTACTCTTGAAACGAACCATTATTACTCGGTCCATTAGTGCCGCTCAACATGCCTACCTTAAAGGTTGAGAATTGAGAGTGCATGAGGTGGTAAGTTGTATTAAGCACGCTTTAAATAATCACTCCTAAAGCCAATCATCATTTCACGTGAAATAAGTACTTTTTAGTCGTGAAAAAAAATTCACCTGTTGTGAAATTTGTTGAAGTATTTTTTTTATTATTTAGTTTGATGGCTGAGCTCTTAAGCAAAACACCAGGGTATCCCACGTTGGTTTAAAGGAAATCCTCCAAGTCGACCTATATCTTCATATAGGAAGCTTTAGAAAAAGTTGAGTTTTTATTGTCTTCACCAGGGTATAAACGTTTGAGTATTCTATGGTCTCCACCAATAAAACATATCCTCACTTGAGGTGATACAAAAGCACGAGGTTAATGTAGACAACATATAACTTTGAACTGTTATACGAAGTAATACACTATACCAGTGCGAGTGAGACGCAAAACTGTCGAAAGACAGGTATTCAAAAGCTATTTGAATCAGAAGACAGGAAGACGTCAAAGGAAATTGTATATCCACGGAGGCTCTTCACTAGATAAGCTCTCGATAATGGCAAAAGATATAGGACAGAGCGTTAACTAGTCCGCACACGCATGTAAAGAGTACTCCTAAAAGGACTATGATTGGTCCAAAACTAATCCAAATATATGGAAAACAAGTAAGAAATTATAGTCGGGCGAGGCCGACCATATAATACCCTACACCTGTTACAAAAATAAAATGTGATTTAGTTTTCATAATAAAGCATTGTAGTTGAATTGTACCTTGCCTCAGATATACTTAAGACATTTATTGTTGAATAAAATTGTGGACATTTAAGTCAAATTTTGAAGGTGGCTTTGTATAGGTACTATGGTCAAATGAGACCCTATAATTATAAAATTCATGAGGGTCATCAAGGCTAGTATAGCACTTGGTTTTGCAGCTTTTTGTTGAGATACGAGTATATTAAACATAATTATGAATTTAAAAGCCCTATTCGTCGGGTTATTGGCTAGGAGAAATAATGGACCGATGTTAACCATTTTCAATAGGCTTTGTCTCCGGTGCCATAGAAGATCATGTGCCAAATTTCATTGAATTATCTTTAAAATTGTGACCTGTAGTATGATTACAAGGTTTACAAGCCCTATTCCGGGGTTCAGTTGTATGTTGGCTAGGTGAAATAATGGTCCGATGTTAACGATTTTCAATAGGTTTTGTCTTCGGTACCATAGAAGATCATGTGCCAAATTTCATTGAATTATCTATACAATTGTGACCTGTAGTTTGATTACAAGGTTTACAAGCCCTATTCCGGGGTTCAGTTGTATGTTGGCTAGGTTCCTTCACTACATTCATCACATTCATCCAACAGAGATCTTAGCGATCTGGAAAGCGACGAAAATGATACGGAATGACATACATTCTAGCCTGGTTGTAGATTGTTGAAATGGTTTTAGGGACTTAGAGACTGTTTACCATTAGATTCGTGACATTATCAATTAGTCCTGAAATAGTAGAATGCATTGCAAAACATTAATTTATTAATTAGCTGTATGGCCAATGGCTTGAAGTGAGTGTTACCAAGACACTTATAAAACTGGATAGGTGTAGTCTAAGGATACTGACAAAGATCTTTCTATACAGGGATATTGAAGACAATCAATCTGTATAAATATTTTTTGTCGATATTCCTAAACTTGGACAAGTTTTGAAAGAAAGCTCTTTATACGCCAAAAAGTAAAACTTTATATTTTTAAATTAACAGATTTTTTTTTTATTTTATAAATAGATCTTTTTTTATTTTACAAAATAAAGAAAGAAAAATCAAATTAAAAAGATTTAAAACATTTTTTGTCTTCATCGCTTCGCTGCCATTATTATATAAATATATATTTAATAAAGTACATCCTAAACTTATGAATTACTTTTTTTCACTATTGGCTAAAAGATGTTTATTAAATCAGTTTAAAAAAAAACACAACATACTTTAGATTAAATATTACACTATTTTTGTTGTTGTTGTTTTTCTTTTGTTTTATATTAAAAGCTATAAATTGCAATATTTTTTTTATATACTTGTATTAATAATACATTAAATAGTGTACTAAACATTTAAATAATAATAATAATATATTGCATTTACAAAAGGAAATTATTGAAAAGAATTTGTAAAGAAAAAGAAAATATTAAAATTTTATCGGAACCGTGTTATTGTTACAAAAGATAAGGAAATCTCAAGACGTACAGCAAGTGAAATTTAATTAAGGGGAAAATGTTGAAGAGTTTTTTTTAGATAAAAACAAATTTGTATGATTATTTTTTTCATTGGGGGGTTTTTTGAGCAATTTACTAATATTGTTTATATTTTCTTATTAAATTTGATTTTTAAAAATGTACTTTTACAATTTCTTCTTTTCAAATATTGTCTAAGTGATTTTAATGAAATTTCACCCACTGCACGGCAGGATTTAAAAAATACATACATAATTGGCTAAGTTTTAATTACAGACATATTGTTTTATTCTAAAATAAAAAGAAACTATATAATTATTTATTTAAATCACCAGCTCTAAAAGAAATGGTTCGGATATGTACCCAGGCCTTAAGAAGAAATGTTCTTAAATTTGTATTTGTTTATAAAAAAACGTTTTTTTAAACACACTTTTTATCTAAACAGTGCACTTTTAATAGGAAGAAAAAAACGTTTTGTTAAAATAAAAATAATCATAATATTTTGTTGTTGTTAACTACCAACTAAACCTGAAATTATACAAAAACAAAAAAAAATACATATTTATACCTAAAGTATAATAACAACAAAAACAAGTGAAATTAAAGTATTTATAATTTAAAAAAAGTATCTAAGGTTTATAAAGCGTTTTGTTTGTTTGATTTCTTTTTACATGTAGAATCGTCTGGGCGCACTTTTAACGCCTTTAGTTTTTAAGCTTTGCAAAATAAGTAAATAAATAAACAAATTTGTGTCAAACACTTTTATATAGGATTAAAATTTTTCTTTTTGGATGTGTTTTCCGAAGGTAATACGGTTTTTTTTTTTTCATTGCAAAATTAAATTTCATTTTTGGTTACAGCATGTATTCCATTCCATTCCATCAATCATGATCATGTTTCCCGTTTCAATTGTCGTGTATTTGCATTTCCAATTCAACATCATACAAATTGACTTCGCGCATTGAGTTTATAAACATGTAGCGGGAAAATATTATGTAGAGCCAACGAAACCATTTCATTTGTGATTCATGTTTTTTCATGGCACAACGTATGACGGATGCTTGTTGCCAGCTTAAAATGCACCTGGAAGTGGAGTAAAGGTAGTATTTATGAAGTAAAGTTTATAATAGTGAAATAAATCGTCTTCCAAGTAGGGAGTGGGGTCGGAGTCATAGGGTGCATTCGTGTCTAGTCGTAGAATGGAGAAATTTTGTAAGTGATATAATGAAACTGATTACTATAAACAAAGCACTCGTGGAACAGTAAAATGGATATATTGCAAAGTATCAACGACCTTATGGCCAAGACCGAGATAGATAGATATATAGATAGATAGATAGATAGATAGATAGATAGATAGATAGATAGATAGATAGATAGATAGATAGATAGATAGATAGATAGATAGATAGATAGATAGATAGATAGATAGATAATAGATTGATAGATAGGTGTAGTCATAGGACTCTGACAGGATTGTACGGCTTTATCAATTTCATCAAAATTCTTTCTGGATCCGAATGCAATCATTTCACTTTCAGTTTTTTCTAGGGACAAGATCTCAACTTTCCTTTTTAGATGGAGACATTTAATTTTGCACTAGAAATTAGTACATAGCCTCATGGTCAGGGTCAAGAGGTTTTTCACTAGCTTTAAAAACATTTTCAAACATATCGAACTAAATCGAACATAATATTAATTACACAGATTTATTTCTATTATTCGAAATTTCCCCACTGTGCGGTAAAAGATATTGTATAAATTCTTATTTGATAAATGTGTTTAAATCAAATAGAATTATTCAATTTGATACTATATATTTATAAAGGAACTTAAAAACTTACCAATGTTTTGACATGAAACATGTACAGATTATATCAAAAATAGATAAATATTTTCTTAAAATATTTATTGAGTCCAAGGCATAGAATTTACAATCTGAAAATAGATGTTAAGGCTATTTTGTCATAATTTTCTTAATAACATTTTTTTAACAATTTACTACAATAATAGAAAATACATTGATATCACTCACCAATCTTAGCTTAAGACCGCAGTAGTCATAGCTAAATTTAAGTTATCTTAAATTTTTAGTTATAAATTTAAGACAACTAATAAATAAATACTTACCTTTGGGTAATAAATTAGCTAAACATAAGGACGCAGCTGCATAATAAACAGCACAATGATTTGGATGTTGACTAACACCATCACGATCAAAAGTAAATATGGCCTGAATGCCCAACGATTCGACAGTATGCAAAATAATATTGGCTACCGCATCGGTTTTCCAGTCAACATTTGGATCATCGGGCAAGTTGGTAGCATTGACTAGTATAATATTGCCTTCGGGAATACCTAACAGTGAACAGGCTTGCCATAATTCTTCACGGCGTTTGGCACCTTGTTTTTCAAAATTTCCTGCAACAAAAATACAAATGAATCATAGAAAGATTTCAATAATGAAAAACCTTATTTCATTCAATTACCATTCGACAAGCAGAGTAAATAAATTTGACATTGCTTGTGCTGAGCCAGTGAATAGAGTAGAGGACCAAAGAACATACACTCATCGTCTGGATGTGAGATTACGAATAGAATTCTTTTGGCAGTTGTATTTGCTGCTGGCCATGGCAATCTTATATTGCCCAGACCTTTGTAACGGAAGATTAAGGCGTATATTGAGAGGCATACTAATAAGTATACCACAATGGCGTATATCAAGTGCTCCAGGGCTTCGGTTGAGGTATTCACGAAACGTCTATAGATCGCCTGGGGTTGGAGAGCAGCAACCGTATCTTGTAGTACTCCGAATACCGTGTAGTTGCCCAGCAATTGTTCGCGCTGCAGCTGGTAGGCCTCGTAAATGTGAGCAGTGGCCGAGCCACAAGATGTCACAGTAGTATTGATGATCGAACCAATGACAGCATTCAGCCAAGACACATTCATTTCATTGCAAAATACCTTTAGGTGAAAAACTTCAATCTTGTCTTCTCTCCTTCTCCTTTGCGCTTTTGTGCAGAGTCTTTATTTTTATAGTTTTATTTTGTGGTCGCTGTTCTTTTATTATATTACAACCGCTGCTGTCTCTGCTGCTGCTGCTATTTGTTGAGTTTCAGTTTATTGTCGTTGGGTCTGTCTCTGATAACTAGCAGCCGTTTGAAATCCTTTAAGAATTATTTAATTTTAGTTTTTAAAAATGTTAAATTAAGTTTTAACCCAACTAGGGACACCAAAAATAACCAAATAAATCAAAAAAAGTATTTTTATGTATAAAATAATTTGCCAGGAACTTTTTCTTTTAGCACACACACTGATTTTTTCGGTCGTTTACTTTTGGCCAAAAACTTTTGTTGTCAAAGTTATAGGAAACTATAAAGTCTATGGTCCCAATTTATTATATTCCTATTAGATTTATTTAACTGTTGGAATTCAGGCCTCATTTGTTTTTCTTTTTTTATTATTAATGTTCTATGTCTGCTCCACTGGTATTAGAGCCCTGCGCCGACAAATATTAACGACGGCGGCTGGCACTAAAAATTTCTACGGCGACTTTATATAGACCGTAAGCCGGATAAGTTTTCAGCTGAGTTTTTAAATTTTCAACAATTTTAAATAAAAACGGAATCCGAGAGATTAAAAAATGGGATTTAGAAGCATATATTTAAAAATCCGGATTTTTACATTGTCCATTTGTTTTCCTTGTTATGCAACTCATTTTCACAATTGTATAAGCTTTCTTTTAAGCAAAAGAAAGGTCCCATTAAAAAAAATATTTAAAAAAAAATTTAAAAAAATAAAAAAAAACTCTTTTGGATAATTGTTGAATAAAAAACCCTGTATGACCAAAATGTCCAAATTTGACCCCCTCTGACTCCGGCAGTTCTTGGCCGATAGAGCTGAAAATTTGTGTCTGGCCTACTATCCCATAGTACTTACTAACCTTGGTGCAAATTTCATCCAAATCGGAAGACATCGATTTTAAAAGTTTGGTCACTTGACACGAAATTCCCCATATATGTACATACATATATAGCTATATCTAGTGTCTTTGATGTTGAGTATACACATTTGGGATGATAAATCTACAAAGGTAGAATAATGAGTCTACAAAATTCGTCGATTCTGTAAAAACGGCTGTTTTCGCCCAGGGAAGATAAATCAAAGGCACCATCGCAAGGAAACAGTAAAACATGATTATATCATGGGATTGGTTTACATAGTGCCACCTTGGACCAATAGAAATAGTCGCCGAAATATTGAGCAAAGAAGACTGTCTGAGTATTTTGTAGAAGTAAATTTTCAATTAAAAGGCGACATGTAGTACATGAAAAAATCGCAAAGATTGATGTTACCACCAAATTTTTTTTAAATTGTATTTTTTTAATATTATGTAAAAAGAAATCACCAAAAAAATTGGATTTGCTTCTTTAGTTTTCTTTTTATTCCAAATGAAAACAAGTTAAAAAAACAAATCGGCATAAATACCCTCCGCCTGTAAGCTACTTTTTGAAAATCCATTTAAGTAGTTTTAGATACATATTCCTTGATTAGGTTGCTATCATTTAGAAATCATTTATTAGTTGCTTTATACAATTATGGAACTAACTTTGATCAAGTCTATAACCTTTATGTAATATGTATATGACCAATCTGAACAAAATTTCGCAGTATTTTATCCATATATGTATATTTATATATTAATGAAATATATGGGATGAAGTAACCTAAGAAAGTTGATCTTATATTAGAGCTTTGACCAATTATGGACTGATCGAAACAGTTTTCAAAATGATTTATATATACATAAAATATATTAACGAAATCTCTTTTTAACAATGAAATATGTGCGTTTAAGTATATCGGTATGTCGTAGACCGTATATCGGACTAGACAAATTATGGGCCTACCCAGAAAAAATTTGGAAGTGATTTGTATATAACAGGTGTCGCAAAAGTAATCCTCCTATCAGAAAATGCTATAAATTTTGCGAGGCTCCAATGTCAGTTCTGTTTTGTCATTTGTGTAGTAAACAGAACTGACATGCCTTGTAAAATTTATAGCATTTTCTGATAGGAGGATTACTTTTGCGCCACCTATTAAGAAGTTATTTTGCAGAATTTTAGTCCGGTATATTTATTTATCAATGAAATGATTTTTATGATTTTCGAAAGTGGAACTTTTATGTGATCTATGACAAATTATGGACCAATCTGGAAAATTCTTCTCAGTGTGGTTTATTTTATACCGATATCTTCATTTAGCAATGAAAAATGTCCGTTTACGTGGCTATCGTAAGTGGTCCTTATATGAGAGCTGTGACTAATTACGGACCGATACTGATCTAAGTTGGTAATATGATTTCTGTTTATATCATATACGTATATATCTGAAACATTTTTTTTGACGAAGTTGTTAACAATAAATACATTTCCGAGAATATATACCTTTGTATGGGGTCTATGGGAAGTTTTGAATCCATTGTTTTGATTTTGAACATAATTGATCCTTGTGAAAACTACTAGAGAATTAGGAAAAAACGTAAATTTTTTCGAGGTAGTGAACCGATTTTCAATACCAAACTGCTTAGGACAACAATGAATATTTTCGGTGAATTTGGTTTACTTCCTTTGTTTAGTTTTAACGTGAGCGAAGGGCATAGCTAATTCGACTCAGAATTTGAAAAGGACCTGGCACATATATACTTTGTTGGGCCTCAGATGAATATTTCTTTGTGTTACACACGGAATGACAAACTTATATATACCCTCTATCACCACTGATGGTGGGGGAGGGTATAAAAACTGCAATCACACATAATTATTTATTAAAATATATCAATAATATCGAAAACTTTTTATTTTCAATGCTATTTTTGACTTGTTTTTTTGCTTCTCCTGTAAAATTTTAAAACTGTTAGATAGGGCCGTTTGCGTTTTAGGTGACGATATTATGATAATAATTGAGCTTGTTCGGGCGTTGTGTTCTTTTTTGAACCCAAAATTTTAAAGCGAATTTTCAAGAATAAATCTTGCTCTTGCTTTCTGAGTATAACGAATTTCCTGATTATAAGGTGTTCAGAGTATCTAAATGCTGAGTCCCCAATTACTCTTCATTTTCAGGTATCTCTAAAAAAAAATTCGATTTTTATAGTAAAATAAATAAATATACATATGAGCACATTTATTTCATGTCAAGTGACCCAACAAAAAATCTATTTCGATGAAATTTGCACCAAGGTTAGTATTACTGGATTGTAGGCCAGACACAAATTCGGTTCTATCGGTCAAGAACTACCGGAGTTAGAGGAATGCTTTCTTTGGAAAAAAGGTCCATTTTGAAAAATAAATCAATATTTTTTTTATTAAAAATAAATAAAAGAAGGATTGAAGAAATAGCTATATAAAGTCCTTCGGCCAATTTTTGCTAGGACCAATAGGTGAAAAGTTACACTCATTTGAATAAAACCATGTATGACCAAAATGTCAAACTTTTAACCCCACTAACTATGACAGTTCTTGACCAATAGAAAATTTGTGTGTGGCCTTCTATCCAATAGTATTAATTCGTCCAAATCAATTTTTTTAATTTGATCACTTGACCCGAAAGTTACACATATGTATATTGTTTAAAGATATTATAAACTTACTTCAATATCATTTCACAAGGCATAAATAATTGCTTGGCAAGTTCCTTTTACAATATTAGCAATATAAGTTGCCGAAATTGTAGTTAAAAAGATTAAATCTGCATAGTTACATCCGCTTGCCAAAAAAAAGAAGGATTAGTGCTAGGCGTTCTGTTACAGAAATTTGAAAGCTAATTTCGGATGAAATCAATTTTTCTAAATAAGCAAATGCTTTCCTGTTCATTCTTGTATACTTATGTTACAAATTGACTTCTTGTCATAGTATCTTTTTCAAACGAATCACAAACGAATTTTTCACAATAATTCTTGCTCTTTAACCCAGGCTGCGGTTTTGCTGCGGAATGTTAGATAGCTAAATGAAATTTGGCACATATCACTCTCTAGTCTATAGAGCAATGTTCGTGTATCCGAAATTTCCAAAAAAAAAAAATGATTCCACATAATCTACTAAGTCAGGAAAATATTTCCACTAAATTACACGGAAATATTATTATTAGGTAAATTTTCTTGGAAAGTAATTTTTAATGTTTTCTCAATTTATAAAACCGTATGTTTTTAAACAATCTAGAATCGGCAAAAGTGCAATTTGTATCAACATGAATAAATAAAAATTCATAATTGGCGATTGTAATACCCATTAATACAATTGAAAATTTACCCTTATAATTAAGAAAGTGGTTGGAATTATTCGGTTTTTTTATTTCAATATGCTTTCCATCAATTGCTCCAAGACAATGAGAAAATTTCCATTGGTCATAAAATTGTTTGCTTTCGACCTGTATCTGTAAACAAAATTAATAGGTAAATTTTCTTGGGAAATAACTTTTAAATATTTCTCAATTTATTAAAACAATTGAATATGTACCCTTTTAATTAAGAAAATCTTCAGGATTATTCGGTTTTTATTTCATTATGTTTTCCATCTATAGCTCCAAGGCATGAGGTCATAAATTTTTTTGCTTTCGACTCTTCATTCTCGGGTATCTTAAACAAACAAAATAGTTTTTTCAGTTTAATAAATATACATACATACATATGGGCAATTTTGTGTCAAATGATTCAACTTTTAAAATCTATCTCTTCCGATTTGGATGACACAAATTTTCAGTTCCATTAGTCACGAACTGCCGGAGTTAGAGGGGGTCAAAGTTGGACATTTTGGTCCTACAAGGTTTTTTTCAAATGAATGTTACTTTTCACCTATATTCATTGTTTCTAAAAAAAAAATATTTTTAACAAATTTTCCTTAAAGGGCTTAATTTCTTTTAAGTCGCTTAATGGGGTGCGAGTGGGATATCTATGTATTAAAAAAATATTTTGTAACTCAAGAATAAGATTTCAATATTTGGCACTTAATTTTCACATATTTTTTCAAAATGGACGATTTTTTTGTTTTTTGTTTTTTTGCTTCAAAAAAAGCTTAGACCACTTAAAGAACTTGGTAGTAATCAAGGGGCATATTTAAAAAAGCAAAGTTTTTGAGTTAAAATATTTTTTTGATAGATATCCCACTCGAATTCCACTAAGTAACCACAAAGCTCTTAAAGGAAATGGTCTAAGCTTTATTTTGAGCAAGAAAACGTGCATTTTGAAAAAAATCTTATTCTTCAGTTAAAAATATTTTTTATGGATATCCCACTCACATTAAGCCCTTAAAGGAAATTGTAAACAAAATCGTCCATTTTGAAAATAAAATATTTTTTGATAGATATTCCACTCGCATTCCAAAATATTGAAAACAGTGAAGAAATAGCTTTCTAAACTCCTTTGGACAATTTTTGCTAGGACCAATAGGTGAAAAGTTACACTCATTCGAGTAAAACGCTGTATGACCAAAATGTTTAACTTTGATCACAGTTCTAGAAAATTT